ATGCATTGCCATCTACAAGCAAAGCTGGCGCTGAAGAGGCACCGTTGCGACGAATCCAGAAATACCAATTACCTGTTAAAAGTCAACCACAAATGAAAAAAGAACGAAATCTCTTCACGCAAACGACACAATCCAGGGGACCACTAAGCGAGCTAAATAAGTATATAAGTAATAAATCTAAAGTACGTAAAGAAGAGGGTATACGAGGCTATGTCGTGGGATTTCTTCAGTTTTTTGATTGTCATTGGAACCTTTTATTAACTGACGTTGAAGAGTGCTATAAGCATCGAAAATTCAAGTATGCCGATCAAAAACTGCCACTGCTGAAGGCTCCGGAAGATTGCAGCCGCCGCTTACGTGAACTGGGCCTAACGTTGCCTTTGCAGAACGCGAAAAGTTTGAATCGAAAAACTATTGAAATTGAAAGACATATACCACAATTATTGGTTCGAGGCGAACATGTAGTTTTGGTGCAACTTGATAATGAGCAACCACAATAAATACATACCAATTTCCAAAATATATCGTTCATTTTTATTTTTCCACAAAAAACTTAATAAATAGTTTTAAATAAATTCTTACAAATCTTTCAAACAAAGAGGAACACTTTTTAGATATTTTCAGCATCGGGGATATCGTACGGCCACGAAATTTTTTTATATTGTACACCCGGCATCTGGGCGGTTTTTCTCCACGAAAAGCTAGTGTGAAGGGGTCTTCAGGACTTTGTTTTAGACGTTGCAAGCGGCCCATTTCGAATTCATGGGAATACACTGGCGAAATTTCGCTAGACTCAAATTTTCCAATTTTTAAGCAACCTTCTATAGATGTGGAAGCCAAAAGATTTTCTATCTTCGTATTAAAGCAAACATATACACAAGGAGACAGAGAATTAATATTGTATACATATATATATATATATATATATATATATATATATAGAAGTATGTGCAACATTTTTATTAAATGATCCGTACGTTTCAAACCATAAATATTCGAAACCCAGTTTACTGTTCAATTATCCGAAGCGATAATATAGGTCAGGTACTATCAGTTATATTATCACATTTATTAAAAAAGGAACATAAGCAATTAAACGCTTTAGGCTTTGAAGTGATTGCTGCCGATTGGTATATATATATATCCTCCTTATTCGCGAGGGATAAAAATGCCGCGAATACGGAATGGTAATTTATATGGGATTATAGGGGATACGTTCATAGCTGACAAAATAAAGAAAAATCAAATATATTAGTTTGGTGAAAAAGAAATCCATTATTTTTTCGGTAGATGGCTGCACTGATAGATTTCTCGTAAAGTATCGATCAAACCATTTCCGATACTGTACATTTACATACTGTACATTTCGCAGTAAAAAGAATTCTTTTGTTGTTTTTTGTTTGGTGCATTCAGTTGTGAGTTACAGCGTGTTAAAAATGGAAGTGAACAAAGAGAAAATTCG